AGGACGATCTTTCTTTGTAATCACATACCGATACTGAACTCCCAATAGTAAAAATTCATGCCACTCATCCCCAAAATCTTCCTCATTGGTCAACACAACCTGTCTATCTAAAAGAGCATCAATTACATCTTTGTGTGTTGTGACATGTGTTATTGGAGTGAAAATGGTAATATCTTTAGGTTGGGGATCCACATAAGGAAGTAGAAAAAGATCATCAAGGAAATTAAAAAGGCCTTTGTAAGTAACTAAGTCTTCAATATGTAAAGTGGAGTGGTGGCCAAAATGTGATGAAAAATTAATGACATGTGCGTATGGACCAACATGCTTTAAAACTTTAAAAGGACCAGCACTATCGGCTTGCAATATAACATAATCCCCAATATAAAATTGAAAATATTGTTTATGCAAATCAGTTTGAAGTTTATATAATGCATTACTTGCGTGAAGTTGTTTAATGATCTTAATATGCAAGTCATGAAGATGATGCACAAATGCTTCAACTGATATCGACACACTAACATGTGGGGACATGGAAATAAGGTCTAACGGCCGCCTAGACTTATAACTATGAACAGCTTCAAATGGATTCAAACCTAGAGACCGATTTACAGAATTGTTATACGCAATTTGAACAGTTGGGGGAATCAAGTCCCAATTTCTAAGATTTTTCTGGACTAGAGACTTGAATAAATTGCCAGGACTTTGGTTAACGACTTCATTTTGACCATCAGTTTGAAGTTGGTCAGTAGTGGGGAATGTTGATTTAATACTAACCATAGGCGACTGGATTTTCCAAGGGTGGCCAGTGAAATCATCAAGCTCTTTGAGTTGTGCAAGGGTATGACATATAAAATGTGGCCGAGAGTTGTCAGAAACAAGGGGCATAGTATCTAAAGTCTCGGGAAGAGTCTGGAGTCCACCTAAAGAAGTGTCCTCACTATCGTCCAAGTCATCAAAATCTTCAAGTTTAGATTCATAGACTAGATCTTCTAATGGCATATCTATTACATTCTTTCGTTCTTCCATGACTAAGGTTCGATTAGTACATTTGGAAGAAATGTGGCCAAAGTCTTTACAGTTGATGCACAACAAGTGAGAAGAAGACCTTGGAGTTTCAGAAATTCTACCCTGATTTTCCAAGATTGGAGAACCATTAGAAGGGGGAGGTCCTAGAAGGGACTTAACGGGAGGAGGTAGAGCCAATGAAGCCAAATGATGATTATAAAAAATTTTACCCTTATTTTTCAAAATTGGAGGAACATCATATGGGGAAGGTCCTATAAGGGACTTAACGGGAGGAATTGGAGCCAATGACATCGAAGGATGATTGTCAATATACTTTCTACATAGAAAAGGAGATTGTGGACTATCACGACCTTTACAATTATTTTTCCAAATAGGAGGAACATTAGACGAAGACGGTTTTATGATAGACTTATGATGAGGCGACGCTAATGAGATGGGTGAGCGACGATGACCACGCTTTTCATATGGAGTACTAATAATCAACTCATAATCTCGAGCTAAAGAGTAAGCGTGATCAAGAGTAGTGACACCTCGAACGAAAAGCTCGCGCTTAAGATCATCTCTCAGACCTTGGCTAAACCTACTCAAAGTCGTGCTCTCATCCTCAATTAAATGACATTTGATTCGAAATTCCTCAAATTGCGCGATATACTCAGTCACTAATTGATTTCCTTGTTTAAGGGCATTCCATTGAGTAAGAATTTCAAAATTATCTCGTTCTCGCTCACGAATCTGATCCCTATTCCTATCCCTATCCTTACGATCGGGTCGAAAGTATTTTTGATTACCTTGTCGACGATGTTGTCTATTATGGGACACCTTAAAATTATTAACATCAATCGAATGAGGGATGTGTTTAAAAATTTTCGAACTAACAGATAGGGCCTTACTCTCTTCAAGAGTAGCGGTCATTTGAGTTTGAATAGCCGCTATTTGTCGGGTGAGTGCATCCAATTGTGAGGGGTTCATGTTTAAGGTACTAGAGCTAGAAGTGACAAGATGACCAATATGTAACTACATGCAAAACAATACTACCTAAATGAAATGCAATAGAGAGACCAATATGCATCAACGACCAACGATTAAAACATCAATTTGAAATTCTCTCTCTCTTTTCTTCCCTTCCAAAAATACAAGTTAACAGTGCTGATACTTGTAAATAATAAAGCAAGGGTCCAATGCTTGTTAAGATCAAATGGTATTGTCAAGATTTCCAATCAGGTAGATAAAAGAGGTAACAATGGCACATCAATTCAGTGAGACAAATGGGGCAACAATGGCAAGTCAATTCAATGAGTGATTCCAGTCAAGTGAGGTTTGAGGCCAAAGTTGTGATAGTAACAGCAACACAAAGAATCTAAGTGATGCACTTTTAAAATAAAACAGCAGTATAAACCAATGAGAATTAGGAGATAGCAACTCCCTGTAGTCTAGTTGCCTGAATTGCTAACGATTGGGCCTCTGATCTGCCTGTGTCAAATGTCTCCAGCTCCCGAACTCACGGTCATTGCATATTCTAAATTGTTGGCTTCACTGAAATTGGACAGATGCTGAAATAGAAACCTCTGTGTAACTGAATGGGTTGCTTGGTAGTAGAGACAGTAAACTGCTTGATCAATGAAGTCGGTGGAAGACAGAAACGCCGGGGATAGAGGCGTTTGAGTGGGTGGGTGTCGGTCGTAGAAATCTGTAGAATGTGTTGAAGAAGGCGGCAAATTGGATTATGTATATGGTTGACTGTGCTGATTTGAAGTGGATGCCGGTAAATGAGAGAACAGGATTATGGTTGCCAGCGACCTGTGGGATATCGGGGAAGAAGCTTTTGTGGTTGGTAGGGATTTAAAATTCGGGTAGTAGCGATGGAAGACAGCGATTATAGAGGGATTGCCGGCTAGTGTGCGTAGCGTCGGTGATAGAGCTATAGACGAGTCAAGAGGTTGCAGATGGTGATGACAGAGGTGGACTGGACAGTGGCCGACTGGACAGTGGCAGTGGCACGATTTGAAGCTAAATGTGTTGAAGAAGATGAAAGAATTGGGCCGGTTTGTGACTTGTGTGGGTAATAGCTAATGTGGGCTGGGTTAATGTTGTATGGGCTATTGGGTTGCTGTAATTGGGCCGGAGGTGACAGACTGGTTTGGTGTTGTATATATGGATTATGATCTGCTGTTGTGATGGTTAAGATTTGAGTTTTTGGGCTGCAAGGAATTGGGCTAATATGAGGGCTACGTGGAAGATAGACACTAATTTTATGGGCGCAATTACTGGGTTTGGGCTATTTGTGACATGGGGATGGGTATTGGGTTTGGAGATTTGTGAATAATTGGATTGGAACTAATTGGGTTTCGCTTGGACTTGAAATTCTAGGGTTTGTTGGGCAACACACTTGCTTGGGCAGCAAAATAAAAGAACGAAACTTTTTTTTTTCCCCTCAAGAATTGATGAAAAAAAATAATAATAATAAATTTCTCCCATGTGTGAACAGTACCCGTGAACAGTAGCTGCCTCTATTTTTTTATTATTATTTTTTTTTAACCAAGAGGGAAAATTTAAAGAAAAGAAAACGGCTGCCTCAAACAAACTATTTCATCTGTGTTTCTGTACAAGGGTTTTGGGAAGAGAATGTGAAGAAAAGTTTTGGATTGTAAATGAGTGGAAAAATACCTGAAAGACAATTGAAAAAATTCCCAAGTTCTAGTTCTGATACCAAATTTGATGCAGCACCAATAGGATGATGAATGAATAATTATTTTGGTGGCTTATGGCGCATCCCTCCCTGTCTTCTATTGAATTCTTCTTCTATCCCCTCCCTTAATTCCCCATTCTTTCTGAATTTTTCTTCTATTTCTATTAATCATCCTATTGGTGCTGCATCACAAATGATCATTAACGCATTTATATATGCCTTGTCAGCATGCTCATTAAATTTGACTCAGCGTTATGAATCTCCTGTCTCTAATACACATTTGCCTCTCTTTACAGTTCTTATCCCCCTCACATCTCTTTTCTTCTCATAGTACCCTAACAGACGGGGAATAATCTTTGCACGTTAATTTTTTCAGTTGAAACACACTGTATAATTATTAATTTGAAATGACATGTTTATACATTTCCTACAAGCATGCCTGCCCAGGACCAGGGACTAGGCAGTCTCGTATCTTTTGCTCTTACTCTTTCTCATGACTAATTGTACCCATCTAAAGAGAGTTTAACAAATAACAAACAAGAATCTTACGAGGGCAGTCAACACGAGAATATTATGCGAAATATGATATCAATTGACATAAGCGTCCCATGCAACGGCTTCCAGTTATTAGTAGAATCATGAAAGTAACAGCATACCTTAAGTGCTTTTACCAAGATCCCATCCTTTCCGCAGACAGTTTTCCAGAGTTGATGATTAATATTTTCTTTTTTTAATGCAGAAGATTCCCACAGTACTCCTGCAGCTGCCTTGGCTGCTCCCAGCAACAGCTTATCATGTGAAATAGATGTCTTCCTATACTGTCCACTGTATAATTCTGCAATGTTCTGGCCATGAGGTAACCAGTAAAAAGGAGCAAAATGTACTGATTCTGAACAATTGAAACCACAATCAAATTCTGAATGGTATGCTCCAGGGAAAATGACAATAAATTCCAAGGGATTCTGCACACAACGATACACAGGTATGCCCTCGGACATCAGAGTAGAGGGAGAAATTTGAGTGACCTGCAACATGTACACAAGACATACACAGAAGTGAGCATGGCCATTTGTGGTCTTCAACATGGATGGCATAAAACTTCATTTCAAAACACCCAATAAAAATAGAAAGTTAAAATATTGAACGCTAAAGTGTGGTGAGAATATAACAATCAGGGATGTACAAAGCATAAACAGTTTAGACATGTATTCGACTGCTAAATGAAGAACGCCAGAATTTCAATTAGTAAGTACCATTACAAAGAAAAACTATCCATAAACCAGTTAGCAGTAAAATAGATATATAAAGAAGGAACCTTCCCACCCTCCGAACCAATGCACCCCCCAATCAAAGAAAGGAAAATAGAGAAGTAAAAGAGCAACGGAGAAAGAAAAAAGTTACAGTCAGAAACATGGACAATTTCACAGTTCAGCTACAGTGAGATATTCCTGCTTTAAGTAATCTTGAAATTCTTGGAAAAATAATATGTGCGAATGTTTTTTGCGTCCATCAAACCTTGTCAACCAGTCAAAATGAAATGGGATGAGCAGAGAAGTGTGTCTAAGCAAGCAACATTAGTATTTACTTAATTGACCAATTTCCTAAGAAAACAAACCAGAGATTTGACCTGCTATGAAAAACCTCTCGTGACTCTTCTTTTTTATTCTAACAGTCAGAATCGACCGTTTTGATACATAAGAAATAATCGTTTTGAAAAAGCTGTCAGAAATGAGATGTCACAATATTTTTTTAACAAATGACAAAGTGCTAAAAAGGAAAGAATATCTTTAATATATCCACCCAGTTTGTCAACTTTTTGGGAAATAATAAAAAGAAGGATACTTTCTAAAGTTAAAATTTACTTAATTTTTATATCTTTTGTGAACGGATAAGTTGTACTAGAACTACATATAGAGATGAAGAAAAGTATCACTGAATAGAATTAACACCATACTACTCTCACTATTTGAATTTGTACTTATGATTGTGAAAGCAAGTAGAAAAAAAGACATTCTCAACTCTGTTTCTATTTTCCATTTTAGTAAAAAGAAAAGCCATTTGTTTTGACAATTATAATTCAAAGCAGTGAACACAAGAATCAGGAAATTCTGGATATAGTGCGTGTTTTATAAAACTTTACTAAAATGTTAACAATTCAACCATCAACTTCAAATCTGCTAATACTTTTATCAAAAGCTTTGTCACAATAGCTTAAGGAATTTCAGACAGCTACTCTGATTTTCATCTGTTATAACAAAACGAGAATGATCAACTGATTTACAATAGAGGTGGCATTGAATGAACACAGTTTAATTTCACTCAACCTCTGTAGGTTATAAATGACAGATAAAAGAAAAATATTACTTACAAGCTCATGGAGCAACTCAGGATGCTCTGATAGGCATATCTGGGGAAACTGCCTTTTTACAACTTCAACAAACTTGAAGCAGTATCTTCCTGGGATTCCATAAAATACTTTAGGGGAACCCAAGTGCATGTAACATAATGAGTACAAGTGGTGCTCCTCCGTTCTCTGTTTCTCCATGAAATCAAACAGAAAACTTTGTAAGGAAATTAACAATGTCATTCTTTCCTACAGCATAGTATAAACAATAGTTGTACTTGTAGTATTCAAACGGATTCATAAAGAATGTCAACAAGCCCATGAAGTTAGAGCAAAATAAAAGACCTTACCCAACAATGTGATGCAAAGCACATCCCCATTGACAGCTGAGGGACTAAGATGGCAGAATTATCACAGCTTTCAAATGACAGAAGAGAACCAGGAAGCTTGGGGATATTATTCAAGTTCCAATTGGATTCCACGTATTTAGAACACTCAGGCATTTCTGCTGCACTAGGTTTTACAGGAAACCCACTTCTCAAGGCTTGAGCTTTCAAATTAGTACCACAAAGCACCTAAGCATTGAATAACACAATGGAATAAACTAATGATCAGAAACATAGATACAAGAAATGAACAAAATAATTGCACTTTTCAACGAGATATAACCTCTATTTCTTCGCTCGGATTCTCAATTATCCGCCAATATTCACCCTCTATGCTTAGCAATGATGGTTCATGCAGCTCTTGGACAGTAATTGAGTTTACATTTGGATCTGTAACCGTGTCAATATTGCAAAAGTATTGGCTCTTGAATTCATCAGCATGCTTTTTAAAACTTTCCAGTGTGAACTTTGGTCCAGATTCAAAATCAGAGCTTATAGTAAAGCATTTAGCTTCATTCGTGTCTGCAGAAGACTCAAGATCCCCACTCAAAATTTTGGGCCTTTTAGCTTCCATCTTCTCATGAAACCTACGTGGTTTTCTCTTTGAAGACAAACGTTGAAGGCCATCAATCTGTTGTATATAAGTGTTAAATTTTTGTGTTTCCCATGTCATCTTCTCTTTAAGAAGGCAAGGTGGGTGCCAGGAAGGAGGAGGAACAATGCGGCATATCCCATAGTTCTCCGCTTTTGAATGTATCTCTGCAATATATTTCAACATGTCCTCGAACTCCTGCAATAATAATTGAGTTAATGCAGACTGCAAATTATTTATCAGCCAAAGCTTTCCTCATTGAAGAAAAAATATTGGATGATAACAAAGAGGCGGGAAAAATGGATAACGGGAAGAAATACCCCTTCAGTAGGATGAAATACTGGAGCATCTTCAAGTTCAGGCAAGCGCGACTCTTCAGGACGCCACCTAGCGATAACCTTCAACAAGTTTCTTAAACATCAAACAAGGTTGAAACATGTGAAACCGATTAATGATACTTCATTGTTAGAATGAAAAACAAACAAAACCAACCTTCTGACAATCATGGCAAGTTGGACATCCTCGAATCACTCCTTTCGGAAGATGAACTCTCAATGGGAAATTCTGGAGATGATAACCAGATAATTAGTCATAACTAACAACCTAATCTAATAGGGTGGGAAAAATAAGCATATATCCAGAAAAATTCCAACACAATGACTACATACAAGCCAAAATTTTCCCATTAGTTCATCACCAGAGAGCAGAATCCGTATCATTCTTAACTAGGTGACGGGAGGTTGGATGGAGTTATTCACGAGATAAAAGTATTGGCTAAGATGCTAGGGACGGATAATATATATAAATAAATGCTCCACCACCACATCCATAACTTCAAACTATGTTAGACTACTCAGCAGGCACAAAAGACTTCAAAAAATAATGCTTTAATTATGCCAGAACAATTTGCAAATTGCAAACGACAACAAGCAACCAATGCAAATAGCAGCTAAGTTTTCCCAGAACAACAGCTTACGTGTTTTCTACAGCAATATAAACTAATGAAACTCTCCTCGCACAGCCGAAAGAGCAGAAGTTTTAGGAGCCTATCAGGATAAACCTAGTTTTGATTCTATCATATTGGCTTTGTAGGATGAGGAAGAAATCTAGTATAAAGGCCAATTTTGACATTTTTCGTGAGGTCCCCCAGGATTTACAGAGTAATTAGCATTTGCTATCAGATAACAGTTCCTTCCTTCAACAGCTAGCAAATTTTCTTCGCTCAAATGAGCCTGCTCAGGAGAATATAATCCAAACATGTATATCTTGTATCTTGGTATACTCTCCAACAGTACAGCAAGTAAATCCTCAGAAACTTATAAGACCACACATCAAAAAAATAAAATAAAAAAATACAACAATTTTCATCAGCAAACAGGGATAGTGAGAACTTCACAGTTATACATTACAACAAAAGTTCAAGAAAAGACAATGTGAAATAAACTAAAAAGGACCATGCCAAGCAAATGAGCCTGCTCAGGAAACTATAATCCAAACGTGTATTACTTGGTATGCTCTCCTACAGTATAGCAAGTAAATCCTAAGAAACTTATAAGACTACACATCAATAAATAAATAAATAAAATACAACAATTTTCATCAGCATACAGGGTTAGAGAGAACTTCACAGTTGTACATTTCAACAAAAGTTCAAGAAAAGACAATGTGAAATAAAATAAAAAGAACCATGCCAAGTTCAGAGTCACATTTCTCTGAAGCACGATCAAATTGGTCGTGAAGTATCCATGGTCTGTGCCTGAATGAAGTCTTGAAGTTTTCAATGTCTGAATTGTTAAGAAGAGAATCCATCTTGTTTGGCTCCGGTTTAAATTCTCTGTCAACAACCGTTAAATTAGTAGCTTCCCCACTGTCTGCCACCTTCTTTAATGTAAAGGCTGTTCGTGACGCAAAACCAGGTGGAACTGAGAGGGTTTTTGCATTGTCATAGCCAGTAGGTATTCTGCCTTTCGTACTCATCAGCCCTGTAACTGATGAAAAGAATAATGTCATATATGTTTTGAAGGAAGGTTGTAACCAGAAGACTTGTATATGAAAGATTATTATCTTGCCGCCTAGCGTTGGCTCAAACAAATTTTCTTTCCTGCTTGCCCAATGTCCTGCTATTAAAGAGACGAAAAATTGCCTCCAATAGACTGGAGAGAGAGATAATGATTTATAGTCTTCTCTATATTACAGTTTTCGCCAACTACTGTCACCCTATTTGGGCTGGTTTTTCTATAACTGGAATGCACTATTTTAAACCCGAAATCTAAGAAAGAAATGTTGATGAGAAAAGGAAAAAAGAAAAATGGAGGCAGCATAATAAGCCTCTTATAGCTGAAGTAATAAGAAACCCTCTTTCAAAAGAAATTGCAACTTTTCAGCAACAAATGGCCATTGGCCAATTCCAAGAATCCTCTGACATGTAATCTTCACCATTTCCTTTCTTTCTAATGTTTTCATGTTCTCTGTCTTTTTGTTTTGTTTTGTTTTCTCTAAATTTCTTTCTTCCAAAGTCAAGGCAAGCAACATTGTTTAACAGATGATCAGTTGTTTCAATTTGTTTGGGGACTTTTAGTTTTTGTTTACTATTCTTGTTACGTATTCACTACTCAATTAACTTATTATTTCCTGTCAATGATAACCAAAAATATTGACATCCATCATTCTATTGGAGTCAGAGACACATTAATTCTTGTGGGATTGTCAAGTAAGATCAATTTCGTCAATGGCTATCACCAACTTCAAGAATAGTTTTTGGAATTTTCATCAGAAACTTTCTATTTGTAATAACTATAACCTAAGAAATATTGTCATCACTGATGAAATTTTCTGCCAGTTACGTCGAGAGGTTTAATAATGTTAGCTTACTTCTTTGTCTTAGTTTACCTTTAGTTGTTTGTTTTTTCAGCTTTTCTAAATGTTAATTGAGTGGGGTAGTTTCTTATGGAGGATACACTTAGTGTTTCATAGGTTGGGTTGTGTTGGAAATGTCTGTTGTGAACTATTATTGTAGTTAAGAGTTTTTCATCTTCCTCCCCCCCAAAAAAAAAATGTTGAGTGTTCTTTAAACATAAATATCATTTTGTTCATTTTAAATGCTCATTGTTATTATTATTCCTAATAAAAACCCAAGGTCCCCAAATTGCTTGAATGCATTTGTAGGTATAGATGAAAGCAAGATGAACACATTAACAGCATTATTTATTATTAGTTATCTCCTTTTCATTTTATCATTCCCTACTTTGGTCATATTAAGGACATCATCCAATTACATTAACATAATCTAAACCTAAAATTTGCCGTATCAAACTCTTCCCTTCTAAAATTTGACATATGAAGGACATCATCCAATACGTTTCTCTCTGTGGTTTGGTATATATAAAGAGTTAAATGGACTGAATTGCTTCCTCATTCGGTTTGTTTCCCTGCTTCAGGTTTTCCCTAAATAACACTACTCAGCTGGACCACTTTCACACCCAAAAACGTGCATATTTTCTTCTCAACAATTTCTTCACCATTCTCACCTTAATTAGGGTGCCAATCGTGCAAACGTGCTCAATTTCTGTATAAATCTCTCCAGTTAAACGCTAATCTTCAAATTTCAAGAGGATTAACAAATTGAGCATGGAAAATATACCTGGAAAACAAAATAGAGCCCTTTTCGGATGGATGATATTCAATCTGACTGGAAAATAAAACGAATTTCCACACCTTAATAAGAATTTACATTTTCTTAAAACCCTTGTTTATTTTATTTATATATAATTTTTTCCCCCAAAAATGGGCCTCTTGGTCTTTGCGCAATACGAATTAGGCTATTTGTCTACTGGCTAAGAAATTATCAAAAGAAAAATTAATTCAAACAAAGAATATTGTACGATTAAAATTTTAATTCAAACAAAGAATATTGTTTAAGAATGAATATAAAAAATATAGTCGTTACGAGACACACACAAAAAATAAAAAGTCAAATATGGTGAGTTGATATGATGGATAACGATCATATTTTTTATTTTTGTGATCAAAGAATGGGAATTAAACGAGAGTTGTAAGAATAAATTTTGTCGGTGATACCTAAACACTTTTAGGTCTCGTTTGACAGTCAATTTTTTTGGGAAGGATGAATTTTTTTATAGTAATTTTTTGAAAAATGTATAATTAAAAAGTAGAAACAAAGAGTTTTGAATTAACTTAAAGAATATTTTATTAAAAATGTATGGTTGAAAATGCATATAAAAAAAATAAAATTAAAATAATAGTTACCAAACAGGGACTTAGACTTAGTTGCTGAATATAACAACTCTAAAGACGTGTTTGGAAGTTGTAACTATCAGAGCATGTTTGTTAATATTATCGAATGTATCAATATCAACAAATCCCTCCGAATCACTAAGATATATTGATTTTCATCAAATTTACCATTTATGCTTGCTCGCAAAATTTATGTCACCGTGCAGTCCATTTTTTTAATTAACAATTTTGTATAATGACCTCCAACTCCAAATTAGAGCACGTATCTAAGACATTCGATTCAACATGAAATTAATAGTACTTAAAATAATAAACTCGGTACTATTCTCTTCTATTTAATTGACAATCATATTTTCAAAAATTCATTTATTTAATACATGTCAATTATATAGTGACATAAAGTACTAATACTACGAGAAAGGGCAATACAAGAACCTAGAGAAATTTAACTCTCATTTCTTAAATCATTTTTAATCACGTTTAATGAGACTAACAATTTTTATCAATTTTCAAACACACATTTATCAACTTCTAGTTGAAAGGAGACTCAACGAGTAAATTTTCAACGGCACGAAGGATGTTTGCACCAGCACCCTTAAATAATAGAGATTTTGGACCCTCGTTCTTTAAGATTTGAGCGAATGCGTCCACAGAGCTGCTGTATTTCACGGCGTCACCAGATGTCATCGTCATTCTTTTACGAACAGTGTCAATTGGGTAAGAAGCAAGTCCTGCACCATTTGTGATGAGCCAACCGAGGGCGAAGAAACTATCCCGTAAACATAGAAGGGCAGAAATTGGTTACTTGAAAGCAGTAAACATCTAAGAACTAAACAAATAGCCACTGTATAAGATTGCACCACTGTATTATACACGGAACAGGTTGTTAAAAGAAAAGAACAGCAGATCATGTCTTAATATTGGATTAATGAAAACTCCTTGGAGCTCTAATTATTGCCACATATGACAATAACAACAATCTACTAACCTGAAACTTTCCAGTCAAGACCACGGGTTTCACTGAGTACGGTAAACAATGATGCCAACATATGAGACGTTGAATCCACGGTAAAGACCAGCAATACCATCAGATTGCAGTGTCTTCCTGTATACGTCGACCAAACCATTGAACTGGCGCTCGTCTCCCTTCTTTGCAACTTTGGCATCATTTGCTGAGACATGTACAGGCATAATTCAAAGAGTAGGGAGGAAGCTCCAGCAGCACCGCCAGATGCAAGGTTACCAGCAAACCATTTCCAGTAGCCATCACGGTCCTTCTTGAAGTTGAAAAGCCTCTTGAAGTAGTCCTTGAAAGCAAAGTTCAAGGCCTATTGAACATGAAACAACAATTAGAACAATATGCAAAAGAGTAATTCATGGTATATGTTTCGCGCGGGTTAGTCGCTAACAATTAAAAAGGATCAGACGATTGTGTAAGGGACAAACCTCTTGAGACAAAGTCTCAAAAAGGGGTATTCTTTTATTGACGATGACTTTACAATTGAAAATTAAAAACAACGTGCCTCCAAGGGGCGCAAGCACACGAGTTACTGAAAGAAAAGTATTTAAGTCTAAATTAAGGAAATGAAAATTACATGTTCTCTATTCGAGAGTTTTTGATTCGGTCCCTTGCTTCTATGTCATTTCTCCCTTTTATACTTTATGGACGATTTCTTTGTGATCAACCGCCCTAAAAACTGCTTGATCGTCCTATAACTGCCCACTTTCTTCGTGATGGCCAACTTGTCATGAAAACTGCCTTTTTTAACTGCTGCCATTACTCTTCATCATTCAACCGCTTTCGATTGAATTCCTTGAATCGTGGAACGTGATAGAGCTACTTTAATAACTGCTTTGATAACTGCACTTCTTGATAACCACGACGCTTTATATTTGTTAAGATCTTGGCCGACTTGAAAATTTGGGCGAGAATAGAGTAACAGCTCTGGGCGACTGTATGACACTCCATTCGCTCAGATTCTGGGCGACTTGCAAACATGGGCGATGGCGTTATCGCGTTCTTGGGCCTCTTTATTTGGGCCTTTATTTTGATTTGTTCGATTGGACTTCGTTCTTTGGGCTATCTGATTTGGGGATCCTCCAATTGGGCTTCACTCCTTGGGCTGTTCGATTTAGGCTGAATTTTTATGTGTCAACAATTACCCCCCAATATGGCAGAATTAATAATAATTATTAAATTTTGCCATATTCACTTTGTGTTTCCAGCAACATTCGAAATTCCCAAGAATTTCAATCATTGTTTTCTTCTATAACTTGAAAAGGTGCGTCGTTTTGCAAATCCTTATAAACCCCAAACACGCCATTTCACTGTACCATTAAATCACGCCTCAAATTTTTTGTGTCTCTCTCACGATTTACTGTTCATCTCTTGCTTCTCTGCTACGTAACCCTGAAAAACTTTGTTCCTTCTCAAATGGCTGCTTCACAATCTCAAGCTGGCGACTCCTTTAGTTTTGATGATTTTCAGAAACTTCTGAGTCGCCCATACATAACTCCAAGTTTTCTCGCGCCCGCCGATGTCGAACGTAATGAGTTCTACTTGGGTCCTTTCTTCAACAATGCAGAGGCAGTTGAACAGGCGGCGGTGGGTCAGCTGTTTCCTTGCACTCATGGCCCTCCTTTTCTAAACTCTCTGCCACTGGGGCCATTTCGCGAAAGAGGTATTCGCATTTGGCCTAAATCTGATGTAGCTTTTCGTAGGTGGCATGCTCGCCTTGTGGGTCATGATCCTACTAAGGCACTTTTTGATAGCGCTAGAATTTCTGATTTGTTAGAAATCTCTATTCGCCCCTACTTTTGATTCAACACTCTTTTCGATTGCTTTGAGTTTTTAGTCTTCTGAGTATAACACCTTTATTTTCCCTCTTGGCCCCATGTCTATTACCTTAAGGGATGTTGGGGCCCTGGTGAATCTACCACCTTTGGGCGATACCATTTTTCCTGGTATCTTGGTTTCTGGTGACGCCCCAAAGTTTGATAAAAACTACACCGATTCTTATTCAAGCCTGCAGACCCTTCACAATCATTCGAGCGCTGAGCCTTCCCATACTGAGCGAGTGGCCTTCCTTTTAGTTTGGCTTTATAAATATGTTTTGTGCGTGCCAAGCATAAAGCCCTCCCCGAGTTATTTACCTATAGCGTACGAATTGGCGCGTGGCAGGCCTTTGAATTTATGTTCTTTGTTTTTAGCTGCCCTTTATAGAGGCATGGCCTCTCTTCAAGCTCAATTGAAGAATGGTGCATCTCCCACTGGCAGTGGACCTCTTTGGTTCACTCAACTGTGGTTGAGATCCTATTTTCCATTGCTTGGTGCTCTATCCATCTCTCACTCCTCTGCTAGCTGTTATGGGCTAGCCATGGAGCCCTTAACTCCTGTAAATATGTCCAGAAGGGACATTTTTTCATTCTTTTATTCTTTAGATTCAATCCCTTCCTTTTTTCCTTTTCCTCCTTTTTTGACTCCAAACTATGTACATCCCCCTTCTACTATAGATAGCGCGAGCACCTCCCTGCTCATTTGGATCCAGTTTTTAACGGGAGGAAGCTATTTCATGATATTCTAACTGGGACCAATGCCAAAGCGGGGGTAGAGATTTATGCTCCCCAATTTTTTTCTCGTCAGCTTGGTTTTGGCCAAACTTGGCCTGTTCCTCCTTGCTATTCAAGGAACTTAGTTGACCGTTTTTATACCATTACTAAGGCGGAGGCAGAGGCTATAGGTGCTCGTAATCTTCTTTTAACCAGCCATTTTTCATTAGCCCCTTTCAATTCTAGCCACGCCATTCACCCTCTTTTTGAACAGCTCTGGCCGTCAGTGAAGTGCAGATTATTTGCGACTGACGCCAATCGTGCCTTTCATTCATTAGACCAACCGAGCATTTCTTCCCCTCCTCCTGTTTTAGTCACTCCCTTGTCCATTCAGAGTCCTTCTCCTTCTCGTCGCACTAAACAGTCTGCTTGTCCATCTTCTTCTCTCCCTGCCAAGCCTACTACGGCCAAGAGTGCCCCAAGCTGCAAACGGCCAGCCTCAGCATCTCCCATTCTGGAGGATGATGTTGATGATGATGATGATGCCCCTCTTATCGTTAGGAGGAAGGTAATTAAATTGGTTTACTCACAAGTATACTTTTCCACACTTGAAACTTTTCTGTGTGCTGATGATCTTTTGGATTTCTTAGAAAAGCTCAGCCTCTCCTTCAAAGGCTTTGGCATCGACAGCTCCTGCTCTATCATCCTTTGCTGAGGCTACTTCATTCAAACCGGTTGATGAGGGGGCTACGCTTAAAGAGACATCTTCAGTCCCAGAGTCCTCATCACAACCCATGGATGAGCCACCTTCTTACCAGGGCGTCAACCCTCCAAACATTGAAGCAGAAGGTAATTCAGTTTTTTGATGTCTTACCTTTGCTTGTGTTGTTGGTTTCTGATTTGTTGCTCTTGAATTTTTGCAGATACTCCTATGAGTCCGCCCGTTGTGGCAACATCTTCTCGCTCAGATAAGGGG